CGGTGCAAGGAGGCAGGAAGGTGGCCTGTGATCAGGGAATCAGCGGCCTACTTGAGCCCCCTCCCCCCTCCAGGTTTTCAGCCCCCTACCATCCCAGTTAAAGGACATTTCAGTTATGTTACAAAATCTTTATTTTTGACTGACAGGTTTACTTTGTTTATAAGCAGTTCAACGGTAACAAGAGAAAGGTGTTTTATACACAGTGAGCACATTTTCTTTACTCCTAGTGTGTCTAATAATAAAAAAATTCTGTTTTCAAACAAACCCGGGTCAATGTCTTCTCAAAGGGAAGAGAGCGAGGGTTGTGGAGGGAAAGGTAGAGCAGGCCCTAGGGAGAGTCAGTGGGCTCCTTCTGAGAATCTTTCCCTCAGGGCCTCTCGGATTTGGACACCAGCCTGGTGAGCCTGGCGGATGGCAGCCGTCCGGGGCTGCAGAAATTGCCTCTCCTCGCCATCAGCACCTGTGCACCACCCCGGCAGGAAGGCCTCGTCAGGACATCCCCTGCCCCCGCATCAGTGCAGGGGTGGCCGAGGAGCAGCCTCCAACTGCCACTCCATCCCCTACTCTCCCTTGCCCTTGCCTGGCAGTCCCCCTTTCTCAACACCCCCACTCAGCAGGGCCTGTCCCCCAAAAGTGACTTACCTCCATCAAGACGGCCCTGACGTTAGATCTCCCAACACCAAACTGGTGTCCCACAGAACGGTTGCTGTCGGGGATGGCCAGCTTCCACAGGGGGATTGCGACCCGCTTCTGCAGGGGGATGGCGGGCCGCAGGTGGGTGTCCTGGTGTTCCAGAGCAGGGGGCGATCCAGGAACACAGCTCCAGGAATATGGCCTTCCACGTCCAGAAGTTGCGGAGCCAGTGGTCGTCATCACAGAGCTGCATGACGAACCGGTCCCACCAGTCCAAACTTGTCTCGTGCCTCCAAATCTGCCTGTCCCCAAAAGAGTTTGGGGGCAAGGTCAGAGCTCCTGCAGCCTGGAGGAGAGTCTCCTCAGTGCGGTCCAGGTCCATATGGGGCAGGAGATTCATGACAGAGTTATGCAGATGCAGCAGAAGCTACAGCATGGGGCCATCGCCTGACCAGGGGCAGCTCAGGCTCCGTGGCCAAAAACACGGTAAAAAGCAGCAAAAAAACCCTGCAAATAAACTGCTGTGGTGTCCGAGGAAGCAGGACAACCAGAGAAAGAACTGCAGCAGCTTTGCTTTCCCTCTAGGAGGTAGGCAAGCCAGAAGTAGGAGCAGAGCCATGGCTGTCCAGGGGCATCCCTTTAAGCACGCATCTCTGCAAAGGGCATGCAGCAGCACCTGGAAATAAAGGCTGCCCCCATGCTCTGCCAGAAGCACGTCCAGGTGCCTTTTTTTTTTTTTTTCAAAAGCGCATCCAGCAGTCTGGATGCTGTTTTTTGAAAAAGCAGATCGATTTTTTTGATCCGCGTAATGCAATCTAGACGCTCTTTTTCAACAGAGGCTTTTTCGAAAGATACTTTAGAAAAAGCCTCTGTCAGAAAAGGCGTGCAGTCTAGACGTAGCCACAAATACAATGGCAGTGGGTAGCCTGTAAAAATCTAGCTGGATAGATCAGTGGTTTTCAAACTGGGGTAAATGTACCCAGTAAGAGTATGCAAGGGCTTGTCAGGGGGTATACAAGAAAAATCCTGTAATGGCAGACAGCATGTTTTATTTAGTAAAACTTGGCAATCTAATCATAGGTATGTTATAACTCTGTCTCAGGAGTACACAATAGACTACATTATTTGGAAAGAGGTACACAGCCTAAATCATTAAAAAAAAGTAGAAGTGACCCTAGCGTACTCTAAAACCAGAGAACTATTGGTTGCCATATTATTCCAGTTTCAAGAGTCATTGATGTATCAGAGTGGGAAACATTATAATAAGAATTGATCACCTCCCCATCACCTGCTAGCCTGGAATCTCTTCTTAATTACAAACCACGCAAATGGGACTCCTACAAGGCCCCATGGGAAATAAACTAGATTATGTGAGCCAATTTTTTGAAAAACGGTCTCTAAAGCTGCATCTACCTTTTTGCACCCGACATTTTTTCATCTGGCATGCAATTAAATATTTGTACGAATCATCAAGGATTAGTGCATGGAATCTGCAGCTGTGCAAACAACCTTACCCAATTTGCATGTGCAAATCCAACTTTCCACTTCACCAATGGTGAAAAAAGACACTCACTGAACTTGTAGCCACAAAATTATAGGCCCAGTTTTGTATGCCAAGACTGGTTGCCATGCGTGAAGATGTGTCTGGTTCTTTTTAACACTCTGCATCACCTGTCTAGCAACCCCAGCTGTGCTAATGACTCTGTTATGTGGCATAAGTGCCCTGTGGGGGGTTATAGGTAAGATTTGCAAATGCACAAATGAGTTAGGTGCCTAATTTCTATTGAAAGCCATTGGCCGTTACCAGCCTAACTGCTATCTGTGCCTTAGAAATGTCCCCTGATATGTCTTTTGCTCTACATGAGAAATATAATAGGAACACATCACATAGGTACAGTGGAGTCCAAATAACCCTATTTACTACTACACACAGAAATAAAACAAATAGTCTGGTAGCACTTTAAAGACTAAAAAAAACATGTAAATGGTATAATGAACTTTTGTGACTCCAAAAAGATCTCACCAAACTGAGTGATTGGGCAACAAAATGGCAAATTAAATTTAATGTGGATAAGTGTAAAGTAATGCACATCGGGAAAAATAACCCCAACTATACGTACAGTATGATGGAGGCTAATTTGGCTATGACATATCAGGAAAGAGATCTTGGAGGTATCGTGGAGAGTTCTCTGAAAACTTCCACACAGTGCACAGCGGCGGTCAAAAAGACAAACAGGATGCTAGGAATTATTAAGAAAGGGATAGAAAATAAGACACAGAATATCTTACTGCCCTGTATGAAACTATGGTACGCCCACATCTTGAATACTGTGTATAGACGTGGTCTCCTCACCTCAAAAAAGATATTTTGGTCTTGCAAAGGGTTCAGAAAAGGGCAACTAAAATGATTAGGGGTTTGGAACGGGTCCCCTATGAGGAATGGTTAAAGCAACTGGGACTTTTCAGTTTAGAAAAGAGGAGACTGAGGAGGGATATGATAGAGGTCTATAAAATCATTAGTGGTGTGGAGAGGGCCGATAAAGAAAAGTTATTTATTAGTTCCCTAAATAGAAGAACTAGAGGACACCAAGGCTGTGTCTACACTGGCATCCCTTTCGGAAAAGGGATGCTAATGTAGCACATCACAATTGCAAATTTCAAGTAGGAATAAGAAATCCTCCGGAAAAAGCTTTATTTTCCGGAGAATAACGTCTAGACTGGCGCTTTTCTCCGGCTTTTCCCCAAGCCGGAAAAAAGCGGCAGCCATGTAAATGCAAATCCCGTGGGGGATATTTAAATCCCCCGCGGAATTTGCAATTGCGATGTGCTACATTAGCATCCCTTTTCCGGAAGGGATGCCAGTGTAGACACAGCCCAAATGAAATTAATGGGTAGCAGGTTTAAAACTAATAAAAGAAAGTTCTTCTTCACACAGCGTGTAGTCAACCTGTGGAACTCCTTGCCAGAGGAGGCTGTGAAGGCTAGGACTATAACAGAGTTTAAAGAGAAGCTAGATAATTTCATGGAGGTTAGGTCCATAAAAGGCTATTAGCCAGGGGATAGAAATGGTGTCCCTGGCCTCTGTTTGTCAGAGGCTGGAAAGAGATGGCAGGAGACAAATCGCTTGATCGTTGTCTTTGATCCACCCTCTCTGGGGCAACTGGTGGTGGCCACTGTCAGCAGACAGGATATTGGGCTAGATGGACCTTTGGTCTGACCCAGTACGGCCATTCTTATGTTCTTATGTGGGAACAGCCCACTTCTTCAGATGACCAGAGTGTTGGATGTCCAGAACCAAGAATAAATAAGGGAAGGAAAAAAATTGGAGAGAGGAGGGGGGATGAGTAGGTAAGCTTCAGAGGGATAGCTGAGTTAGTCTGTAACAGGAAAAAATTGAAAAACAACAAATAGTCTATTAGCACTGTGACAGGGCGAGGCAGCCCCGCACTAAACCTACAGGGCCCAGCCAGGGTTACCTGGCTGCAGAGGCCCCTCCCCCACAGCTCTACCAAGCATGCCTGGGCTACAGCAGGGCTATAAAAGCCTGGGGAAAGACTCAGTCTGGGGAGACGGCCGGAGGAGAAGGAGCTCCCTCTCAGCTGTTGCCGGAGATGCCAGGAGAGGCGGAAAGGGACGCGGAGGCGAGTTGGGGCAACCGCGGGCGGGCTGCCCCGGGCCCTGTGCTTCCCGAGGCTCCACGCATGCGCCTTGGCACCACGGCGCATGCGCTGTCAAAGGGGGGGCCCCCGCAAAATTTTGCTGCCCAGGGCCCCGCTGCGCTGCCCTGGGCCCCGTGGCACTCTCATCCACCCCTGATTGGCACCTTCATTGTTTGGTTGGTTGATAATGTGTGAGCCATCCGGATATCGCGATTTAGACCATTAGCATGAGAGTTAAACTGGACTTAACCACATCAGCCAGCAAATCAGAGGCTCATTCAACTGCACATCCAGTAATGTAACACCCCACTGCAATATATTTTGGACAAACTGGACAGTCCCTACAGGGAAGAATTGATGGACACAATTCAGATATCTGAAAAGGCAACACACAAAAACCTGTTGGGGAACACTTTACTTTCCCTGGACACTCATTAAGGGATCTACAAGTTTCAGTTTTGTTTCAGACCAATTCCACAAGCCAAATACACAGAGAAGGACTGGAACTCCACTTCATTCACAAGTTTAACTCTCATGCAAATGGTCTAAATCACAATATCCGAATGGCTCGCACATTATCAACCAACCAACCAATGAAGGTGCCAGTGGTTCTTGATGTCTGTGTAGAATCTGATGTTAGTACTCTTCCTTTCCTAGTACAAACTAATGGTTTGAAACTTATCTATCCAATGTCCTCTTCCCCCCACCTCCAATTTTTTTCCTCCCCTCCCCATCCCTCCCTCCTTCCCCTATTTATTCTTGGGTTTGGTCTTCCAACACTCCGGTCATCTGAAGAAATGGGCTGTGCCCACTAATACTCATGATGCCATCGACATGTTTTGTTAGTCTTTAAAGTGCTACCAGACTATTGGTTGTTTTTTAAGTTTTTCCTGTTACAGACTAACTCGCCTACCCCTCTGAAACTTTTACACACAAAAATGTCACACCTAGCTGTGTACAGCTCTGGCAGGTTTCCAATGGCTTTTTAAGACATAAAACACAGTGGGTACCACTAGGAGCAGTCACAGAGTATTTAAAGAGGCCGTACACAACACACACCTCAGGAATGTGTGTGTCTGTCTATATTATACGTGGCAAGTGGGAGTTGGAAAGCAGCCCACAGCCACCTTTCAGATTGCTAGTGATACCCTGATCACCTTGCTGAGAGGATCAGCTTTGAAGCAGCGGCTCTCCAGGAGATCTCAGTGGGAGATCAGCATTTTTTAAACCTCCCTTTGAAATGTCACGCCTCAGTACATTTTCCGAAGTGACACTCTGAGCTCCTGCTCACAGTCACTTTCAGATGCTCTACAAACATGCCCAACGCAAACAACGGAATCTGCCCACACGGCGTCATTCAGCCCTGACAATTAATTATTCCCCATTGTCATCTGCCTCTAATATTGGCCTCCTACTCTGCACATCTCTCACTCTCACATCTCCAGCAGCATAATGAAAAGAGTGGGTGAAATTCAAAGCTTACAGCAGCCTTAGCTTGAACTGAAACAAAGGATTAGAGGCCCTTAGGTTCTTTTAAAAAATATTCATAACAAACCCTCAAGTGCCCTCTTCCCAGATAGTGCTACATTTTTTTTATTTTACAGTGTTGAATTGCTCTTATCTATGTTTTCTTTTTTTCCAAGTCTCAGAGGAGCAGCCGTGTTAGTCTGTAACTTTAAAAACAATGAGAAAAGTCTGGTGGCACCTTAGGGATTAACAAAAATATATAGATCCATGAACTTCCATAGGTTAAACAACTTCATCAGACGAGGTGAGTTACCATTTCTGATGTCTGATTTGTGTCCATTCATCCTTTGTCACAGAGACTGTCCAGTTTGGTCAGTATACATGGAAGAGGGGCAGGGCTGGCCCAAGCCATGAGTGTGCCCCGGGCCCTGGGAGCGCAGCACCGCCCCTGGAAGTGCCGCCCCACTCAGGGCGCCTGGCGCCTGCACAGCCCCACTCCTGCCCGGTCCGGCAGCCCTGCACGGCACCCCTACAATGGGGCACCCCGGGCGGTAGCCCAGTCAGCCCGTAGCTTGGGCTGGCTCTGCAGAGGGGCAGTGCTGGCACTTGATAGCATGTATCACATGAGAGGGTGTGCAGTTGTATGAGCCCTGAGGTTGTGACTTGGGTGGTTAGCTCCTGGGATGGTGTCACTTGTATAGATATGTGGACAGAGTTGGCAATAGGGTTTGTTGCAGGGATAATGTAAGACATACAAATCTGTAGGAGAATATTTTTAACCTGTCTGGTAATGCAATCATTGCAGAGAGAGACTGTAGAACTGGAATTTGTTTACGAGTTTGACACTGTTACCCTGGACTTGAATAAAGACATTAACTAGTTGTCGCATTACAAAACCAATCTCTTCTACCTTTAACATCCACATTTTCACATCAAAATCTATGAATGGGACATATCCAGCCCACTTAATTAGCCTTGTTAACATGGGTCCTACAACTGACAGATATTTCTTCTGCTGTTATATATACCCTGGTTCTGTTATTTCCAACAGAACTATACTCCAACTCATCTGATGAAGCTGGTTTTACCCACAAAAGCTCATGATACTATGTATTATTATTAGTCACTTTTTTCCAAGTCTTCCATTGAGGATGAGTGGCAAAGACTCATCTGGCTAAGTGGGAATGGGCTAAGCTAATTTTCCAGAGTAAAGCTGGTGTACTCAGCTGTCATTACTGAGAAACTCTCTAAAATCTAATCATAATTCCTGTCTTAGCAATCTATCTATGGACTTTGAGCTTTATCTGCTTAGGTTTAGCACCCATTCTCCAGATACTTAAAGAAAAAACAGGAAGGGGGGGTGAGAGACAGAGCATCATTCTCTTCCTCCCGCCGTCCCTCCCCCCCTTTCCCTTCTCCTGTTTATTTCGAGTTTTCATATCCCCTACTCATAACTCCAGTCATCTGAAGAAGTGGGCTGTGCCCATGAATGCTCATGATACCGTCTACATGTTTTGTTAGTCTACAAAGTACGACCAGACCATTTTTTCTTTTTTTTTCTGTAAGCGATTAACTCGGTTACCCCCTGAAGCTCATAATTACGATGATTGTCAAAATAATCACACCCTAATAGATAGCCTAACCCTCATGGGAGCTAGATGTATTCTAGTGCTGCTATATCCTAGCAGGGGCAATAGGTATGAAACTAACTATATATTATGGTTTTGAAGATTTTTGAAGTGAGCGATCTCAGTCACATTTTTAGGATATTTTTACGTCAAGCTTTCTTAGATGGAATAAGTGTGTTTTTAGAAAACAGATAACTCATCCCATTTATCACACAATATTCCCATGACAACATTTTTCCAACTGATAGCTGCTGCACATGCAGCCACGATCTAGCACTGTCTAAGGATGCTTAATGCTTAGCACCACGTGGATACCATTCTACACATCAGAGAAATCCCAAACTTGCCTGCAAAAAGTGCCATCAGGCTAATCCACTCAGGCAAAATATCCAGGCAAGAAATGATAGAGGATCAGATTTATTTCTAGTTGTGCATGGTACTGGGTAATATGTGCAGCAGAGGTGCCCATATGAGCAACCAGGGGAACGAGGATTTTAAATACTGTATCCACTAGTGTGTGATATCCACACACACCCCAGTGTCCATTCTTTCCCTGCTTCCTTAATGCCACGCTGCAAAGTTCAGAAGGGGAAAGGCAGAGGGGTCAGATTTAATCGTTCAGCTCAGGGAAGATGTAATAGACTGACTGTCCCGTTCTGTGCTCGTCTCCTTCCCCTATCACCAGGCATTTATGGGCAGTTATGTGTGCATGGGAAACAGGGGGTTGCGCAAAAACAGCCTATCAGAAGAAGCACAGGTGCCCTCGTGGCCATTCTGTGAATGGCATCAGCACTTTCTTGTGAGAGAGCATCATGCAGTCTGGACGCTCTTTTGAGCAAAAGCACAGCGCTTTTCCAAGGTGCTTTTGCAGTGTGGATTCACTCTTGCGTAAGAAGTTTTTGCGGAAGCTCTCTTCCACAAAAAGCTTCTTGTGCAAGAAGCCTGCAGGGTAGACGTGGCCAGTCTGTGTCTACACCGCATTTTGTAATGAGCCTTTGTGACAGCATAATCCAAATTGATGAGTAGCTGTGTCACCTCTGCCCTACAAGCTTGGCTGCCTTACACTGTCTTGTCTAAGTAGCTCCCATCTTGGCCACTCACAAACAGCCATCTAGAATGCAAGTTGCCCCTAAGGGGCTCTGTGTAGCTGCAGCCTGTCAGTCACACTTGGGTAACACTCTGGCTCTCGCCAGCCTAGATTATATTGCAGGCTGAACCTAACACACTCCCAGTCCCAGATTTTACTCTAGAAATGTTTGCCTTATGCTGCCCAGCCCTTTCATGGACAGTGCAAAATATTTAACGTGACAAATATGCCATTTCATTATCTCAAATAGTTATTCAGACACCTCCATTTAGCCAAAGCGAATTAGATAAAACAGTAACGCAAATTTATTTTTCTTGTAACCATCTTGATCTTTATGCCTCATTACTTATACTCACTGAATGTTTACTACCAAGTAATTTGACAAACTATGTCAGAGTGAAGCAAAATTTCTCACTGCATGCTTTCAGCATTCTTTGGCTACAAAAGAGGAAATGCAAATGGAGTGCTCATTTGCATATCTTGCACTCATTTGCATATCTTCTTCTGATCCTTTTTGCTGAAGAGGTTTTTGCGACAAAAAGCCCCATGTAGACGGGGCCATTTGTTGGAAAAAAAAACCTTTTGCGCAAGAGCCCTTTTTCTTCAAAAAATGAGGTTTATAGGCTCATGCACAAAAGGGTTATTTTTCCAACAAGTGGCCTCATCTACACAGGGCTTTTAATCACAAAAACCTCTTCTGCAAAAAGGATTGGAAGAAGATATGCGAATGACAGCACGAGATATTCAAATGAGAGCTCCATTTGCATTTCCTCTTCCGCAAAACACCCGCAGTGTAGACGTAGCCTTACTGTAGGTCTGAACCCTTCCCCCAGAGTCAACAGACTCGAGCGAGAGGAGTTTGCGTGGGCATTCTAAAAGCAGTGGTAGAGACAGCGCAGTGAAGTTGTGGTTTAGGCCATGAAGGAGATGGGCTTCAGCATCTAAGCTCCACCCCAAGGTGCAACATCAAAGAGTCGCCTACCCTACCATTTTTAGAGTGCTAGCATGAGCCAGGCTAGCCCAAGTCTGTTGAACTGCACTGGGCATCTCACTCCAACAGGCAGTGCTGACGTACCTTGTGGTGCTTGGTAACGGCATGTCTATTGCCTGAGCGACATGAGTTAACTGGGGCTGTAAAAGGCTCATTAACCTCCCTATATGGCCCAGAAGGAGACACTGAATGGCCATGGGTTATATCACGCAGAGTGACAAATAGACTGTACCAGGCAATATCCAGGCCATTCCATGCATGACAGTCATTGGACAGGCAGTTACATATTTCTCCACGGGGATCAACAAGGTTTTAAGCAATTTCTCTCACTCAAAATGTATAACATTTAATAGCACAAGTGACACATATAGCGCTATACAAACACATTCTGGCTAGGGCTGGGAAAAAAGAGCCTTATCTTTTCGGCAAAATTTAATTCCAGGACAAGTTACGTTGGAGTCAACTCATGCATTTCTTGACAATTTTGTGACTTTATGGTTTTTACATGAAAATATGCAAAGTTGTTTACATTTTTTGCATGTTTTGAGGCCAAATTTGCTCTACATCAGAAGAACATTGGAAATCTTGAACATATTGAAGGGTTTGCTAATAATGGGACCATTTTGGGCATAGCTGAGCAAAAAGCATAAAGCCCAGACATTTTTGCAACACTAAAGCAAAATACAAAACCCTTTGTTTTTGAGATATCTGTGGCTTTGTGCACATATTTCCCCTGATGCTGAAGACAAAACCCAGCATGAACTATCCAAAAAGGATAGTTGTGGCATAGTTCCTTAAGCATCCCTGTCATCTTTTGTCATACTGCAACCCATACACCTGCTGGGTGTCGTGCACTGAGACCACTTACAGAGAGAATAACACATCTACTCTGCAGCCTTAGCTACCAGCCCTCTTTCTTTCTGCTCACAAGAATAGCAGCTCACGCATTACATTCCAGAGGTTCCAAGTTCAAGTTTGCCCTCAGACAAGCAGCATCTGTTAGTGTTGCAATACCATGCCAGCATGCATGATTATTTACAGCTTGTGCTGCAGTTTCTACATCTTCCTGTTGTGTTTCCTTAATAGCTCCCTATAGAGGTGCTGAACTCTCTGCTCTTCTCGCCCCTGGAAGAAGGAGTTGGAGATTTTTCGGCACAAACGTTGTGCGTAGGCTTCCAGAAATGTCAGGGCATAGATGATGCAATAGAGCAGTCCGACAGCAAGAGTCACAAAGTTGTTTGGAGGGGTTGGCAGTTTCATGGTGCAATCGGCAGAGACGAAGGTCAGATTCTGCTCGTAAGTTCTTTCAAAGTTTGCAAAAGAGTGTTCTCCAGAAAAGGCTCCATTGAAAAGTTTCGAGAAAAAGGGCAGAATGTTTAGTTTGGCCTGAAACAAATAAAACAAAAGATTCAATGTGAAGATGGGAGAAAAAAAATCAACCATAATCTAACAAGTACAAAAAATAGCATTTCAGCAAGGTAAGTATCACAAGTAAATTTTCTACCCATTTGGGAAGTAGGTTTCAGACTGTAAGGGTACGTCTAGACTACAGGGTTATGTCGACAGAAGTTTTGTCGACAGATACTGTCGACAAAGCTTCTGTCGACAAAGAGCGTCTAAACTACAGCCAGTTCTGTCGACAAAGCAAGCTGCTTTGTCGACATAACAGTGAGGTCGCAAAGGACAGTGTAGATGCAATAACGCCTTCTATCGACAGAACTCTGTCAACAAAAGGCGTTATTCCTCGTAGAATGAGGTTTACATGCATCGACAATACTGCTGAGTTTTGTCAACGTTATGTTGACATAACTCAAAGGCAGTGTGGACGCAGGTATAGTTTTGTCAACAAAAGTCCACTTTTGTCGACAAAACCCTGTAGTCTAGACACACCCTAACTGAGAGTGTTAATACATTTACATGGACATACACTGCATAGGACAGTGTGTCAGGATCCTGACTGAAGATGTAGCTGCTGCTACAATAATCATAATAGGAATAAATTGTTTGAGTTGATAAGCAGAGCCCTGCGCAGATACAAAATTTGTATCTGTATCTGCATCCATATCCGCAAATATGAGCTGCGGATAGCCGCATTGGCTGCAGATACCCACGGATACAAAGCAGTGATCCACAAATTTGAAGGATTCTAGATACAAAATTTGCATCTGCATCTGTTCGTGCAAAAATGAGCTATGGATATCTGCATCTACATCTGCAGATGTGGATACCTGCGGCTATAAAGCAGATATCCACGGATTTGCAGGACTCTATTGATACGATTCAGAAAAAACTGACACTCTTCTGCAGTCCGCACTCTCTAGCATTAAGATTAAATTATTCCTTATTCCACAGGTTTCTGGATATAAGTTGCTCGCCAGTAGTGGCTAAAAAGAAGTGTAGATTTGCCCAGTCAGGTGTCTTATGGGAGGATTACACTTGCTTCTAGAACATCCCAAAAAAAGAAAGCGAAGGAGCAACTAATTAAATAGGAAAGCTTAAAAAAATGAAAATAGATAAAGGGTTAAAAATATATTGAACAGGGAGAGAATCAAAAAAAGATATTCATGCTTTCCTAGGTCCCGATTGGCAATTAAAAAGCAACTGGGCATTAACTAGAACACAAAACAGGAAAGGGTTAATAAAAATAAAAGGGAAAAATCTTTAAAATCTCCAATGATGGAGATTCCACAACCTCCCTAGGCAATTTATTCCAGTGCTTAACCACCCTGACAGTTAGGAAGTTTTTCCTAATGTCCAACCTTAAACCTCCCTTATGGCAATTTTTCTCCCTCCTCCTTGTAACATTCTTTGATATCCTTGAAAGCTGTTTTTGTTTCCCCTCTCTATCTTCTCTTCTCCAGACTGAACAAACCCAGTTCTTTCAATCTTCCCTTGCACGCAGAGTGGTTCCATCCATTGGACAGTTCGGGGCAGCCACTCCAGGCCCGCACTTTGGGGGATCCTGCAGGGCTCATGGTGGCCTAGGCAATTACTAGGGCAGGTTGGCACCAGCAGCAACTCAGCCCTAGCCTGCTCTGGGTCGCCATCGCCAGCTGGTGGCTCCACTTCACTGGCAGCAGTGGGAAACGGTGCGCCCTGCCCACCAGCTGCGTCCCTCGGGGAAGCAGAGCGGGCTGGGGCCAGATCACTCCACTTCCCACCACCGCAATGATTGCAGGGTCCCGACCCTTGCTGCCAGCACCAGGCCCCCGCTTGCTGCCAGCACCAGGCCCCCGCTAATCTGTAGCTTGGGGAGGGGCACTTGGGGGAACTGGTGCAATGGGAAGGAAGGGGGTAGAGCGTGGGTAGGAAGAAACAGGGTTGGGGCAAAGCAGGAGCAGAGCTTGGAGGAAGGAGTGGAGTGGGGGCGGGTCACGGCAGAACGGGGGCAGGAAGAGGTGGGGTGGGGATGGGCTTTAGGTGCGGGAGGGGGGGACCCACACCGCCCCTAGGCACAGCGCTGCTTATGTGTCATGTTTTATAGACCTTTAATAATTTTTGATGCTCTTCTCTGGACTTTTTCCAATTTATCCACAGCTTTTCTGAAATGTGGTGCCCAGACCTGGACACGCTATTCCAGCTGAGGCCCAATCGGCATGGAATAGAGCAGAATTGCTTCTTGTGTCTTAGCCCTGGTCTAGACTAGGGAGTTATTTCAAAATAACAAACGGAGCATCCACACGACCAAGCCCATTATTTCAAAATAATAACTCCTGCTTTCCACGAGGAATATCGCTTATTTCGAAATAGATATTTCAAAATAGCAGTAGTGTGAGCGCTTTGCTGCTGCTATTTAAAAAAGAAACCTACTCCCCAGAGTCATTCAAAGTAATTATTCTTCAGTGCTTCCTGGGGCTTCCCCATAGCGGGAACATGCTATTTCTAAATGCGTTGTTTTGAAATCATTTCCTAGTGGAGATAAGTCCTTACCTACAACACTCCTGCTAACACATCCCAGAATTATGTGTAAATATCTCCGGGTAAAACTGACCTATAAGAGTCATATGTGTGGGTCTTAGGAGCTATGATTCAGTCGGTGCAATCAGGGAAGAGATGGGAAATGCCCCATTCTTTTTTTTGAGAAATCACTTTCCTCTTGCCCCCAAAAGCCACTTGTCCCTGACTGGAGGCAGGCTATACAGGATGTCAGGGACATTCCAGCACTTCATTACACTGCAGAGTATCTGTGGTGCTTTCTAAGGGCCAAATTGTCTCTCTCCAGTTGGAATCACAGTTTGCTCTCTAATTCCTTGCTACTATACCCACAGGCCGTCAGAGCAAATGGTATGAGAGAGACCAGGGCTCTGCCCATTCTGTGCCCTCACTCATCCATTCCTTGCCCACCTGCGCAGGAGTGGGGTTACTGACCCTAGAAACTGGTTTCCTTCCTTCCCTGCTGTTTGACTCACAATGCAGGTAGCCTTGCACATAGGGGGACCAGCTGTCCCAATATTATCAGGGTCTGGTCTTGTTATGTGGTTGCCCTGCTCACACAGAGGAGAGGAAAGTGATTCAAGGTGCTTGCCTGACTCTCCCGTTCTGGCATGAGGGCACGAGAAGCTCCTGCCCTGAATGGCTGACACTGGGCGACTGAGTCTCTTGGATTCAACCCCCCTCCCACCCCAAAATCCCTGAAATGGGCAACCCCTTACAAGAACAGCTGCTTTAAAGGTGAAAATTCTCATCCCCACCACAGCTGCTTGACCGATGACTTCTTTGCTGGCCCTGTGGACTTAAACTCAAACCTGGACTAGTTTTCTCCTTTATTTGTTACTGCAGCACATGGGATGCAGCAACGACCCCCACAGCAGGAGTGAGTGTACTAGGGACCCTGCTCTTTCAGGTTGTTGACTAGCTTTGGCTGCTGGTGATGCAAGTGGGAGTGGTGGGCACACAGGAGAGATCCCAGTGTTGCTCTATACAGGCCCACCCCAAGTTACAAACACCCGCCTTGTGAACAGCCGCACACACAGACAAGAGCTCACCTGCAGCCTCAGGGGGGCAGGCAAGAGGCACGGGTGGTGGCCAGAGGACTCCAGAGGACTCCGGAGGATCAGGGGGTGGTCACAGAGCCCGTGGCTGGAAAGATGTGGCTCTTTGAAGGGGGAACCGCTGCTTCTCTCCAACCACAGGCAGCACCCAGCCTGCGCTCACACCAGGTGCCACCTCCTGGAGCCAGCACAGAGCCTGTGAGGGGAGGCGGCCGGGGGATGCCTGGAAGTCCCCTTCAGAATCTCCACCTACTTCCTCCTCCTCCTCCTCTGATTAAACCTGAAGCACCAGCATTCAAAGCTAAATAAAAAACCATTTCTACTATTTTTCATTGTAAATAAACAGCATTTCGGCTACCTTATGGGTTAAATAGTCTTTTGCGGGCTCACCTGGGAACCTAACCACCATTTATAACATGGTTTCTATAGGACAATGCGTTCTGAGTTCCAAACACCTGACTTACAAACAGAAGTTTGGAACACAGCCAAAGATGGGAACTTCCTGTATAATAATAGGTGCTAGAAGCAGGCTCTGTGAGTAGAGACCCTCCATGTGCACAGATGGCCCTGTCTTGCCTCCATTCTGTCTGCACGGCTGGCCACAGAACAGCTCAGACAAGTG